AAAAAAAAAAAAAAAAAACCAAACAAACAAAACAAAAAAGCTCCAAGAGTTTCAACCCTAAGAGCACAGGCCCTTTGCTCCCATCTCCCATAGGCCCTCCTGCAATACTTGAGCCAGTGGCTTTAGATGGTCAAACTTATTTGTAACTTCGTAACTGGAAAAAGGTATTTTTCTCCAATTTCAGTAATTAGCACCTCTAAAGGCAGAACAGTCTGTATATACTCTCCAATAAAACTTTCCCTCCTCAGTCAGTTTCCATCTTCAAATGGCAGCTTTGGTAACTCAGGGAACTGGCTTTGTCCTTTGTGGGCCACAATGAGCTCAGGTAGGGAGCACCTTGGCTGTAGATTTCAGCATTCACTGATTTTTAACAGTCTCTCAATCCTCATTAATGGTGCCAATGAAATTTTTTGAAAAGGCAAAATATTGACATAGAACCAATTGATTAGTTAGCTGTTCTTTCTACTGTTTCACCATTTCCCCAATCAGGCCCCAAATTTTAACCAAAATGATTCCACCCATCTCCCTTCCTCCCTGCCCCAACCCTCCCACCCCCAATGAATATACCAGTAATAGCCAAAAACTACACACATGCTAGGCTGTAAAAATGCAGTTAACACTATTGGGAAGAAGGCTGTGGGTTGTGGAGATGCTCTTTGAAGATCGACAGTATCTTTGCTCTCCCACACCCCAGTTCTGCGGGTTTTGTCCTTCATGGAAGGCCCTCGGCTTTCTTAGCAAAGCGAAGAACAGGTTGCCTTGAAACACATACCCTTTCTCCCTCCACTGGGATGGGTGTGCAAACTATACAGCTTGAAACGATTTAAAGCACTTGGGCTGCTGCAGGGCACAGAAACTATGCTGGCTCTTCAAAGGACATCTTCTCAAGCCACCTCTATGGTGTGAAGACAAGTAGAACTCCTTCCCTCCCCACTTGAAACCCACAGTCAAGGTGACAGGGGCTGGTACTTGAGAGGGCTAGTTCTTGTCGTCTTTTTTGTCATCATCCTCTGAGGGGTAGGAATGCCACGTCAGCCTTTCCTCATAGAAGGATATGACAACCTGTGGGCACTTGACATTGGCTTCCTTGGCAGGGACCAGGTCAGCCTCATCAGAGTTTTTCCTGCAGAACAAAGCACAAAGAAACTTTGAGATCAGCTGTTGGGGTCTCCTAATTCGGATCACCGAGGGAATGGGGTTTTAAAAGTCTAAATTCCAACCACAAACTAGGAAAACAGGATGCAAGCAGCATTTACTGGGTGAGTTGTCACGTGATACCCTCAAAGATCTCCCTTCCTCCTGTTAAAAATCCCCTCTAGGGAACTTTGTCAAAAGGTAGGTCACCTGACTCAAGTAGTTCTTTGGAAAAGGCCAAAGAAAGCTTATATTCCAAAACTATATCCCAGCCAGTACACACAGCAATGCTGGCTTTGTCAGAGGATTTAATATGTCTTGGCACAATCTTGCTTACTCCTAACAGTGTTTAACATCACCACATGCCAACTGCACATCATCTCCACATAGTTTAAACAGTGCACTAACATTATTAGTAGAAAAAGGTACTGTGATATAATTCATTATTTTTCCAAATTTTCATGTTCTAAAAATCTGAAAATGATATACATTATAGTTACTAGGAGTAAACTCTCATCTACTTATCTTCAGGTCACTGGGTCTGTCCCAGACAGAGGCAGCAGCATGGGGCAGGCAACACATACATGACTATCTGACATAGCATCTCAAACCTCCAGAAACGGAAGAAGAACAAGAGTCCAGAGCCACAGGGAACCAGAGAATAAGCAGATATAGTTAAGCTTCCGTAAGAAACTACACCAAGAAGATGGTGGGAAACACACTGAATCCTTAAGGGGCATCTAACCCATAGCCCTCTTTTGAATGATTCTAGAATAAATTTAAGTCCTTTCACTATGTAGAAATATTTTCTATTTTCAGAAACAGACAGGTATCTTCACTTTCCTAGAAAATCAGGTTGTAATTTAAAAAGTTTTTTTTTGTTTTTTTTTTTTGGTTTTTCAAGACAAGGTTTCTCGGTGTAGCTTTGGAGCCTGTCCTGATACTTACTCTGTAGACCAGGCTGGCCTTGAACTCACAACGATCTACTTGCCTCTGCCTCCCCAGTGCTGGGATTAAAGGTATACACCACCACTGCCTGGCTAGAATGAAATTTTTTATGTCTACGTGTGTTTTATCCAAATACATGTATGTATGCAACATGCATGCCTATGCCTCGGAGGCCAGAGTCTCTGGAACTGGAGTTACATTATGTAATGAGTGACAACGGGGGCACTGGGAACTGAAATCGAGTCTTCTGCAAGAGACTGCTGAGCCATCTCTCCAGCACCATATATTTTTTAAATTTTTATTTATTTTTAATGTATGAGAGCTCTGCTTGCCAGCAGAGGGCATCAGGTCCTATTATAGATGGTTGTGAGCTACCACGTGGGTGCTGGGAATTGAACTCAGGACCTCTGGAAGAGCAACCAGCAGTGCTCTTAACCACTGAACCATCTTTCCAGCCCCCCCCCATTCATATATTTTTAAGTGCACGTATGTAGTATAGGGATGGAAGTCAGGGCCATGTATATGCTAAGAAAGCCCTCTACAACTATATCCTGAGCTATGGGTGTATACATCTATCACTTGTTTCTGTTGTTTTGTATGATAGGGTCTCTATGTCAGTGGGTCTCAACCTTCTTAATGCTGTGACCCTTTAACACAGTTCCTCGTTTGTGTTGACCTCCAACCATAAAGTTATTTTTGTTACTACCTCATAACTGTAATTTTGCTATGGTTATGAATCATAATATAAATATCTGTGTTTCCCCATGTTCTTAGTAACCCACAGACTGAGAACTACTGCTGTATGTAGTTCTGCAAATTGATATGTAGACCAGGCTGGCCTCAAACTCAAGAGAGATCCACTGCCTCTACCTCTGACTGCTGAAATTAAGGGGGTGGACCATCATACCCGGCCATGACCTTAGGTTTTATAATCAACAGTCTTTCAGGGATAAGGAAGTGTGGGTGCTGGGGATTAAACAATGGGCCTTGTACATGCTAGGACACCCCCCCCCTTACTAGAAAGCCAAATAAAAATAAATCCATATCACAAATGTTTGAGTGTTTTTGTTTTTTGTTTTGCAGGGACAGGGATCAAACCCACAAAGTGTTATGTTAAGTAAATACTTTACTTCTGAGCCACACCCCTAGCCCACTATCCAAATCTCTTTCTCCCTACCCCCTCACCTCTCTCTCTCAACAGGGTTTCTCTGTGTAGCTTTGGAGCTTGTTCTGGAACTAGCTCTTGTAGATCAGGCTGGTCTCGAACTCAGAGAGATCCTCCTGCCTCCCGAGTGCCAGGATTAAAGGCTTGTGTCACCAAAATCACCAACACCTGGCTTCCAACATCCAAATCTTAACTTTAGATATAGTAGTAAGACAATTAATCCCCTAGACTTCTTTTTATCCTTGTTTTGTTATTTAAGGCAAAGTCTTACTCTATATTCCCAGTAACCTCTAGTGCTGCAATTACAGATATGGGCTATTACAAATGGCTTGTGTGTGTGTGTTTGCTTCTAACTTGTGATACTTTCATTTTATATGAGTGCTGGGATTCTAAGTGTGCAAAACCATACCTAACCAAGAATGCAACCCTTCAAAATACGGAGATACTACTGTAACTCACACTAGTGATATACAGAACAAGTGTATCCTAACTAGACTACTTAACACATACTACTATTTATTCAGTTTTTCTTTTCTCCTGTAAGTTAGAAGAGGGTCCGAATCAATAAAGACTGGAGGAACACACAGAAGAAAATAGGTGGTTAGTTCATTGTGACACAGGCATTCACCTGCATTGAACTTACTCCAGCCATTATCTAGGGAAGAACTACCATAGATACTAGTTTCAGAGAAATTTCTAGACCAATCAAAGGACAAAGACTTGACAATCCTATTTTAACTGGCAATGGCTTAACACTTACTCTTCCTAGTCCATCATGGTGGCATGTCCCTGTAATCTCAGCACAGAGTCTGGGGCAGGAGGATTTCAAGTTCAAGGCAAGCCTAGGCTAGAGTAAAACTGTCTCAAAACAATAAAAAAACAAAGATAATTACTTTTACTAACTTGAACTCTTCATTAAACTGTTTGAAAGTACTGCCATGTACTGCTTGATAATGTTCTGGCCAGAACATTATCTGGCCATTACCGAGTGATGCCGTGGTGCATGCCAGTCATAGAAACCTACTGTGCTGGCAGCACACAAAAATACAGCAAGTACAAGCATGTTCAGCAGGTGATGCTGCCTAGTGCTAACAAACACCACCCACTGTTTCTATTTAGAACAAGTCTACATTGTTACCACTAGTATTTTTAATAGAAAGAGGCAAGCTTACATTATGCTCAGTAACAGTAAACAGTAGAGGCCTTGCTGACCCCTGCTGGCTAATTTTGAAATTTAAAAATAAATTCTATAAATTCTTTCCTACCCTCAAACATGAACAGAATCCTGTTTTTGGGGCCGGCCTGATCTTTACTAAGAAGGTGGCAGAGAAGGAGGGAAATTCAATCCAATCACATCTCAGAATTTTTTTCTTTACTCAACAGAACTGAAATGTGATTCCTCTCCATAGTCTCTCCCACCTACCAAAAGAAAAAGAAAAAAAAAAAAAAAAAAAAATCAGAGATCTGAAAATCCTAAGGGCCCCTACCTGTAACTCATGAGTCCAGGTTTGTAGTCATGCCGAGGATCACTATCGAAGGACTATGTCATCTTAAAGATTCACACCTGGCGACTGGAATTTCGAAGGTGCAGCTCTTTTCCTCTGGCATAGAACAGATGGAGAAGGGAAGAAACAACCACACAGAGCCACTGGCAGACTCACCATTTCATCAGGAACATGAGTTCTCCACTGGAGTCAGTAGCTCCAATAATCCGTTCAGGCTCCAAACCCCTGGCAAAGCCTCGTGGCTTTTCTGACTGTAAAAACCAGAAGGACAGAACAATTTTATTGGCATAGGACTATATCCAGAATGAAGTTATTGCTGTGTTTCTAAGAAATGTAATCACAAACATTCACTAAAGGTTTCCTCTGCTTCCCACACCATGAGGTACCCCTGGCATGAATGGGACACACACCCCAAGCAAAAGAAATGTTCATGCTGTCTCTTCAAAGGTAAATTAATTAAGATACTAAGTAAGACAAAACAGCTACTTCAAATCTGTAATGATCAAAACACTGAAAGTGGGCTGGAGAGATGGCTCAGAGGTTAAGAGCACTGACTGCTCTTCCAGAGGTCCTGAGTTCAATTCTCAGCAACCACATGGTGGCTCACAACCATCTGTAATAAGATTTGGTGCCTCTTCTGGCCTGCAGGCACACATGCTGGCAGAACACTGTATACTTAATAAATCTAAAAAACAAACAAACAAACAAAAAACTAAAAGCAATCTATTGACAGCAATCTACTGACAGGAAACAAATTCAGTTGCTGTCATGTGTCTCCAGTAACTGTTACATCCTTTATGCCAGAAGAGGGCATCAGATCTCATTACAGAGCCACCATGTGGTTGCTGGGAATGGAACTCAGGACCTCTGGTAGAGCAGCTAGTCAGTGCTTTTTTTTTTTTGGATTTTCAAGACAGTGTTTCTCTGTGTAACAGTCCTGGCTGTCCTGGAACTCACGGAGATCCCCCTGCCTCTGCTTCCCAAGTGCTGGGACTAAAGGCATGTGCCACCAACACCCGGCTATCCCATCATTCTTGCACCATAGATAAAAAGATTAGATCACTTTACAGGAATAAGTCCCAAATCCTTTTTTTTTTTTTTTTTTTTTGGTTTTGTTATGTTTCAATGAGACAAGGTCTCCTGTAGTCAAGGTCTCTTATACCTGATCCTTCTGCTAGGATTACAGGTGTGCACATGGTTGACTTCCAAATCTTTTAAAAACATTAGTTTATTTCCGAAGGACAGAGGACATAACTGCTGAGATTCAGAGGAAGAAGTTCAAGTATCGTAGCTCATAATTGTAAGCCCAATACTTAAATCCTTGTCCTAAGTTTCTCACCTCTTCTTTCTTCTTCTTTGGTTTGCTTTCCTCTCCCTTATCATCAGAATCAGAATCGGCTTTGCGCTTGCCTCCCTCTGATTTATCTGTCTCATGGGCTGTTTTCTGTGATTGTAGAAACTCAGCAATAAGGTCAGGGCAATCCAGGTTCTCTTCTGGCTCCCATGTATTGTCCTCACTGAAACCAGCAATCACAGCAAGTTACACTTCCACTCAAGTCAACATTTGTAACTAAGAGAGGAGGTAGTCTTGGAAGAGAGTTAAATGATAAGGAACAGCTAGATTTTTGTTCAAAATTAAGAAGTTTCCTAGCAGGGGATGGTAAAGACCAAAGGCTTAGAAACTTGTCTTCTTCAAGGAAAAACTACTTTGCAGAGGTGGACTATCTTATACAAATTGCTCCTCAGAAATCACTGTTGTGGACTGGTGAGATAGCTCAATGGGAAAAAGGAGACATCTGGCAAGCCTGAAGACCTGACTTTCATCCCAGGACTTAAGGCCACACATGCCACATACACAAAACAAAATGCTGCCATATATCGCAGTATTCTGCATGTAGGTCCTTCCTCAGTAGACTATCAGCTGTGGAGGTCAGGACTGACCCCAGGTATACCCATCACAGAACAGGTATCAAGCATAAGGACTGAATTTACCTGTGCCAATGAAACTTACTCTGAGAAACCCTTCCACTTTAGAAGATATTCCACTTTGCCCTTGACAACTCGTCGATCAAGAACTTTTTCCACCACATATTCCTCTTCCTCTTCTTCTAGAACCTCCTCCACTTTCTTCTTGTTCTGTTTTTTCCCCATAGTACCCGCCAGCTTTCCGGTGTAAAGAGTGACGCTGCTAAAATGACAAAAGAAAATAAAAAGGGCATCAAGGCACATTTACTGGTCAGATAAATATCTGGATGGTAAGGGAAATCACAGATGATGTACACTGCTTATGTATAATGCTCTACTTATCTCCAGTTCACAACCACGTTTCCACGTTAGCTAGCAAGTTAGCTATATTTTTTTTTTTTTGGGGGGGGGGGTTGGGACAGGGTTTCCCTGTGGCTATGGAGGTTGTCCTGGAACTAGCTCTTGTAGACCAGGCTGGTCTTGAACTCACAGAGATCCGCCTCCTCTGTCTCCTGAGTGCTGGGATTAAAGGCCCATGCTGCTGCCTCCACTCGGCACGATTATTTTTTTAAAAGCACAATTATTATTTTAATTCATTTTTAAAAATGTGCATTGGTGTTTTGCCATGGGTGTCAAGTCCCCAGAAACTGGAGTTACAGACAGTTGTGAGCTACCATGTGGATGCTGGGTCCTCTGGAAGGGCAGTCAATGCTCTTAACTGCAGATCCATCTTTCTAACCCCTAGCCATGATTATTAATCTCACAGCAAATTTCTTTCCCTTTGGACAAGGACTTATTAAGAAGCCCAAGGTGTCCTCAGCTTTCTTTCCTTTTTTTTTTTTAAAGATTTATTTATTTATTTATTTATTTATTTACTTATTTGTTGTGCATGCAGTGTTCTGTCTGCATGTATGTCTGCAGGCCCGAAAAGGGCACCAGATCTCTACAGATGGTTGTGACCTATGTGGTTGCTGGGAATTGAACTCAGGACCTCTGGAAGAGCAGCCAGTGCTCTTAACCTCTGAGCCATCTCTCCAGTCCTGTCCTCAGCTTTCTATGTGATGGAATTATAGGTGATACTACAATGTGTGGGTCGAACTCACAGAGATCTTCCTGCCTCTGTCTCCCGAGTGCTGGGAGTAAAGGCATGTGCCACCACCACCGCCCAGCCTTCACAGTCTCATATAGCTCAGGATGGCTTTGAATCCCTGATCTGGTCTCTATCTTTTAAGTAATGGGATCATAGATGTATGCTACCATGTCCAGCTAAAAAGTCCCTTTATTTTTCACTTTGCTTTTCTTGAATGACATCATAAATTCACAGCTCAAACTTTAAAAATTCTTTTACTGCATTTACTCATGTAGTCTAAGTTTGGGTGTCACGGAGGTCACGGGACAATTTGTGGGAGTCAGCTCCATGTGGGTCTCGGGCTTGGCTAAGCTACCTCACATGATGTAGCAGAGGATGAACTTGATCTTCTGACCCTCTTGTCTCTTCCCCCCAGTAGTGCTAAAAGACTGAACACAGGGCTTTGTATAATATACAAGGCAAGAGACTACTCTACCAACTGTGCTACAACTCCAGCCAACTCCCATTTTTCCCTTTGGTAGTACTAGGAATTAAACCTTGGGTTTCAAGAATGCTAGGTACTATGCTACAGCCCTTGCCCATAAATCACTATTATTTGACTTAGTTTACTTTATTTCTAAGCCTCAAGACTGCTTAGAAGAAGCACCAGATTAACTATTTAAGCTGGAGTACTGTAATAACTTAGAAAATGAGCAGGGGGAAAAGAGGAAGGTAGCCATCAGAGATGTAGTAAAGTTTGTCTTCTTTTGGGCAGGACAACTTTGTGCAGCTAGTTCTCTCCTTCCACCTTCCTATGGGTTCCACATAAACTCAAGGCCACCTGACTTTAGTACTCAAGGCCAAGTGCAGGTCCTGAGTTTATTCTTTTCTAAAACATGCTTCTGAATGGAGAGATGGCTCAGCAGTTGGGAGCACTGGCTGCTCTTCTAGAGGACCTGGGTTCAATTCTCAGCACCCACATGGCAGCTCTCAACCATAACTCCAGTTCCTTAGGATCGGACACTCTCACACAGACATACATGCAGGCAAAACACCAATGCACACGAAATAATTAAAAGCAATAACCACACAAGTCTAAAAAATGCTCCAACACACATCCACACATAGAATTATATATGGGTGAAACTTGTTCTTTCATGTTGGAAGTTGGTTTTGTTTGATGAAAACCCCAAATACGGCTGGGGATACAGGTCAGTTGGTGGAGAGCTTGTCTCACACAAATGAAGCCTTGCATTTGACCCCTAAAAACCGGGCATGGTGGCGCACGAATGCTTGTGATCCTAGCAGGAGAATCAAGGGGTTCAAGGTTTATCTTTGTCTACACAATACCCTAAATCAGAAAGTCCCTGAAATATTCTAGCATATAAACTTTAGTTCCCTGTAAACCTCTTACCTTTTAATCCATTCAGTTCTGATGTTCTAGCCCCCGCCCCCTTCTCTGTGTAGCCTTGGCTGTCCTGGAACTCACTCTGTAGACGAGGCTAGCCTCAAACTCACAGATATCTGCCTCTCCAGTGTTGGGATTAAAGGTGTGTACCACCACACCTCTGACAGGCCAGAGCTATATCCAGGTTCCCTAAACACTCTTGGGTAGCATACTATAAAGTGTTCAGAATACCTTGAATGGAGAAAGTGCCCAAAGCCTTAAAATTACCAACTTGTGTCGGCAGATGGCGCTGTAAATATACCAGTAAAACAAAATTGGCTAGAATCTTAGAAACGAACAATCAATTATCCAGAATGAGATACAAAGAATGGAGCATATGTGCCAGGTGTGGTGGCACAGGCCTGTAATTCCACATTTTGGGAGGTGGTGGCAGGGGAATTAGGAGTTTAAGGTCAACATGGACTAGATTGAGAGATCGTGTCTGGATTCCCTCACCTCCCCAAGGAAGGAGTATTGTTCTGGATTAATTTAATAGTCCAATCTGGATTAAACTGGTATTACCAGTGTCTGGACAAAAGTTTTAATATATGTAGAAACTCAAATTCTAGATACTATGCTGAATTCTAGAGACTCAAGAGAGTAAGAAATGGTCCCCACCCTTTTGAAGCTTAATATCAGAAAAAAAAAAAAACAAAACACTTTTTCCATTAGAGGTATTCTGCATACTTTATAGTATGTCATCTAAGAATGTTTTGGATAACTGGGGATACAGCTTAGTAGTATAATGCTTAGCTTGCATACATGATAAGTACCTAGGTGCAACTCCCAGCATTGGAGAAAAAAGCAAACAAACCACTAAAAGTGCCTATAATCACAGGAGTTTTAATAGGAGAGGCTAAGGCAGGAAGATTTCAAGTTATGGGCAACCTGAGCTATAGAGCAAGCACACACACACCTTACTTAAAAAACAAAAACTACTGTGCATGATATATATATGGGTGCATGTATACCAAGCTTGGGTGTGATGGTCAGAGGTCAACTTTCAGGAAGCTGGCTCTCTCCTTCCAACAAGGGTTCTTTTTTTGTTTGTCGAGACAGGCTTTCTGTGTATTCCAGGCTGTCCTGGAACTCAGAGATCCACCAGCCTCTGCCTCCCAAGTGCTGGGATTAAAGGCAAGCACAGTATCTGTCTCGTCTAACAGAAGTTCTGAAGATGAAACTTAGATCAGTTTTGTACAGTGAGCACTTTTACTCACTGAGCTACCTGGCTGCCCTGTTTTTTTCTTTTTATTATTTATTCAGCTCCCCCCTGTTCCCGACAGGGTTTCTCTGTGTAGTCACCTGCCTCTGCCTCCCAAGTGATGGGATTAAAGGCTCAGACTAGAGAAAGAACATGTGAGCCAATTATACAGAAGAGGGCTGGCAGACCTGAAGACCTGCGATCCACCTTCAGACCCCACAAGGTGGCAGGAGAGAGCCAACTCCTGACAGACCTCTGCACCAGCATGTGTGTACACCGATACATGTACAAACACAATAAATAACAGTTTAGCTGGGCGGTGGTGGCAGACACCTTTAGTACCAGAACTTGGGAGGCAGAGGCTGGCAGATCTCTGTGAGTTTGAGGCCAGCCTGGTCTATAGAGCGAGTTCCAGGACAGGTTCCAAAGCAATGCAGATAAACCTTGTCTCAAAAAAAAAAAAAAAAAAAAACCAAATAAAAAAATATTTAAACTTTTATAAGGAATAATGTTTGTTTGTTTTCTTTCAGGTAGAGATTAAATCCAAGACCTTGCATGTGTTAGGTAAGCATTCCACGACTGAACCACATCTCAGACCCTAATTTTCAGTCTTGCTAAACTGCCCAGTTGGCTTTGAACTTGAGATACTCCTGCCTCTGCCTCCAGAGTAGTTGAAGTTAATTGTGCCCTACGCCTAGTTGTTGTTGTTGTTCTCCTGGAACTGGCTGGCATCTGCCTCCTGAGTGCTGGGACTAAAGGCACGTATCACCACTGTCCAGCTACACCTAGTTCTTAATGTATGTGTTTGTATTATATTTACTCATTTATTTTGTATGTGTATCAGACACAAAATTAAGCATTTTGTTTTGCTCTTGAAGTTTGTATAAACTATTCAAAGAAATAGGAAAGGCATAAGAAACCATGAACCCAATGTAGACATAGGTTTCAGCTGTTACCACAGAAAAACATGGGCCAAGGCTGGGGAGGTATCTCTGTTGGTAAAGTGCTTATCATGCAAACATGAGAACCTGAGTTGAATCTCCAGGACCCTTCTAACACAGGAATAGGGGTGTGCACTTCTAATTTCAGTGCAAGGAAGGCAGAACTTAGGTAGATCCCCAGGGGTTGCTGGGTAGCCAGACAGTCTAGCCTACTGAGTAAGCACCAGGAAAAGGAGAGACACTAACACAAAACAATGAAAACCAATAACAAGGTAGAAAGCATCTGAGATGGGCTGGAGAGATGGCTCAGAGGTTAACAGCACTGGCTGCTCATCCAGAGGTTGAGTTCAATTCCCAGCAACCACATGGTAGCTCACAACCATCTGTAATGAGATCTGATACCCTCTTTCTGGCCTGCAGGCATACATGCAGACAGACAACTGATGCCTAAAAAAATACATAAAAAAAAAAACAAAAAAAAAAAAAAAAAAAAAAAAAAAAAAAAAAAAAAGCATCTGAGAAATTACAGCCAAAGTTGACCTCTGGCCAAACACAGTGTGAGCTA